GGATGACGTCTCGATAATAGTACCACATAATGATCCAGCTATTAATTATAATGATAGGATCAATATAACACTTACGCAGATTGCGGACTGGCTTGATAGAAATCAACTATGTATAAATACAGAGAAAACAAAATATGTCCAATTTTCTAATTACAATTCCACAAATAAGAACCTAACAGTAAAATATCGAAACAAATTAATTTCCAAAGATAATGTAGTAAAATTTCTAGGTATTACGTTAGATGAAAATTGTAATTGGAAGATCCATATAAATGTGTTATGTACTAAAATTAATAAATTTGTATATGCACTCAGACGTCTACGCAATACAGCCAGTAAAAATGCAGCTCTTACCGCGTATCATGGCTACGTTGGATCTATATTGCGATATGGAATCTTACTTTGGGGTAATGCAACATTGATTAACAAAGTATTCATTTCACAAAAGAAATGCGTTAGAGCTATCTGTGGATTAGCGCCTATGGAATCATGTAGAAACTATTTTAAAGATATAAAAATATTAACAGTTACGAGTTTATATATCTTAGAAATTGGAATCTTTGTTAAAAAACACCCACAGTTATTTAATAAAATTTGTGAAATTAATAAATTTATCAAAAGGGACCCTACCAAACTACACATGCCTATATGTAAGAGTAGCCTTTATCATAAAAATTGTTTTGTGATGTGCATAAATATTTACAATAAGATACCCCAGTCATTTCGTGAAATGCCCTTTGAAATTTTCCGAAGAAAACTACGAAATTGGCTTAATGAAAAGTGTTTTTACACGATAAAAGAATTTGTAAGTCTGAATGGCAGATTAGACTAAGAATGCATTTTACGTAATAATATTAATAATATGACATGTACAATTTTAATGCTTCATAACTATAATATCGACTATTTTTAAATGTTGACATAATTAACTAATTCAATGTAACAATTAATATGTATTTAGAATAATTATTTGGACATACATAATTGATAAACTTTTACTTAACATGTGCTAAGACAAAATTTGCATGCCTTTAGATAAGGCGAAATGTGTAGTTCAGTTACCATTTTAAGACCTTTGTACCACATTTCGAGCAAATAAATTATTCTTATTCTTATTCTTATTCTTATTCTTTAGTGTCTGAGTGTCGAGTGTCGAGTGTCGAGTGTCTAGTGTCTGAGTGTCTAGTGTCCGAGTGTCTAGTGTCTGAGTGTCTTGTATCCGAGTGTCTAGTGTCTGTGTGTCTAGGGTCTGAGTGTTTGAGTGTCTAGTGTCTGAGGGTCTAGCGTCTGAGTGTCTAGTGTCCGAGTGTCTAGTGTCTGGGTGTCTCAGTGTAGTCCTATTATTTGATACCCATATTGTGGTGGTTGTGGAAAAATATGTACCTAGTCCGCCATATTGGAACGACGCCCATCTTGAATTTTAAATTTTGACATAATCATCGTGTTTTACTAGTGTAGCCCTTTCATTTGATACCCATATTGCGGGGGTTAAGGAAAAATATGTAATCCGCCATTTTGTATCGGCGGCCATCTTAGATTTATAATGTTATTGATTTTATTATATTGTATTGTCATCTAAATTAAATGTGTGTACCAAATTTCAGATCAATCTGACAACGGGAAGGTGCTTAAATTCTAATTTCTAATTTTGACCCAAATAAATAAATACCGTACAGGTCGAGCTAAATAAAACCGTTTAAAAATGTTTAATTTTTACTATCAATCTTCATTTTTGATATACTTTGTATTAGTTTAAATTCATTAGCTAATAAGCGAGTAGATGTTGTTTCTGCTGAGAATTTGAATTACTATTAGAAATTATTTGTAATTATAAATTTTTGTAAGGCTTTTTGATAGAGGAAAGTGCAACATAATCAAAATAAACATTATTGGAATAGGCTTATACGAACTCCTACAGAAGCTCTTTGAAATGGTTATTTTTTTTAATTCTACTACTATTTTTTTTAAAGGTTCCATAGTTTTTACTAGCAGTAACATTATGGTACGTACAATTTAGCTAGCAACTAGGAAGCAATTGAAATTATTAAAACCTCTTATTAACAGTTAACAATCATGAAGTGAGCGTTGGTTAGTTAGTAACAAGTCTGCGGTTCGAAATAATAGCGGAGCGTACGTAATCCGTACGTGAGGTCACGCACATATCCACGCTCTGTGTGAGTGACACTACAAGGGGCCAGTTGCATGCAACTTGATATCTGTGAAAATATATACTCCTGTGGATCATACGACACGAAGTCGATCGTATCGCGTACGGTCGTGCAAACAACTAAATTACCGTCTAAAGAAATTTTACATGTTATTTTTGTTCTAGAGAAAAGCAATATGCGAGTCTCCATACACGAAACTATATCTGAACGCTCAGAGAAGTTCAGAAGTTTCATACGACGCCTGCTGTAATTTTCCATACTCACGTCTGTGTCTTATTTTGTGCAAACATGTTATAAAGTTGTAGATTTAAACTGAAAAGTTTGTCCTTATACCGATTCAAATAAGAGTTATAAGTATATTTCTAAGGAGAATTCCGAGAAAAATACTGTTTTTTTTAGTAATGTTCAAACAACCTCGCAAGTTACGAATACTTTTATAAACCTATTTGGTTTGGTTTTTTTATACAACTTAGAATGGCAAACAAGCTGACGGCCTACCTGATGGAAAGTGGTAACCGTCGCCTATAGACATGAGCATTACCATGGATATAACAGAGTATACTGTTTCGCCCATGATACTCCCCATGCGTTGCCATTCCTGAGGACTCAGATGTTAATCTTCTGTACCCAGTAAATTCACGCCATATCCCACCCTTCAAACCGAAACACAGCCAGTGTGTTTGCATAAACACAACTGCTTTACGGTTGAAACACGAATGAGACAGAGGTACCCAAGCAAACGACTTTTGTACAGTCTCCCTCTGGAATAGTATATAATATATATATATATATATATATATATATATATATATATATATATATATATATATATATATATATATATATATTTATATACTATTCCAGAGGGAGACTGTACAAAAGTCGTTTTTCTATACGAGTATTAAGATTATATTATATGTAAAGATAGCAATATGAATACGTGAAAGCGTTAATATCACTCGTGAAACTAACTCAATAGGTATTATCCGTGTCTTCAGGATACAATTGTACTGCCCGTATGAAAGGTGACCCATCACGGTTGCTATCGACCGTCGAGGGAGGTACTTTATATCCGCACCAAACTAATATATTTTATACAATGACAATATAATACGTTCATATCTGGCAATATTCCAAAACCATTATAAAACTTTCTGCGCGGCTAAGTAGGCCAGTAATAAAATATTAAAATGGTCGAAGTGAAAACTGCGTTGCCCCGGTCCGCGGGTCGAAGTTTAGTATGTTTTGATTGCTCCAACATAAACGTACATACAGATATGTTATTGTATAACGCCGGTAGATTATTCATGAAACAGGGTAATTGAGCTCGCCAATCTTCTAGCGTAAGCTAGAAGACGACGTAGACAAATCATCATCGTCATCATTTCAGCCATTATCAGTCCACTGCTGGACATAAGTCTCCTCCATAGACTGCCATAAAGAACGGTCCTGAGCTACCTGCATCCACTGGCGTGCATTTTCCATCAGGTGGGCCGTCAGCTTGTTTGCCATTCTAAATTGTATAAAAAAAAGGGATTTTTAGTAATGAGGTCTAATGGCCCCATTACTAGCAATGTACCCTCTTAGGTCGAACTCCACGCGGTTCCCCTGGAAACCATCATGGTCAATTTTTGTCGAATTCATCATGGTGGGCCAATTAACTTGCATTTATCCGCACCTATCATCTTCTACTGGCGACCCGCCGGTGTATACCGATAGCGCGGGCGGGGTTACCATTCCATTGTCACTCATTAAAAAAAACAAAGGCAAAATAGTACGTCAAAAATTTTATGGAAATATAGTTTTTTGTAATGGTTGAAAATTAAAATCTATTGTGTTCACAATTTATATTTGAAACAGTATATGCGGAGTTTTTATTGTATAGAAAAGGGAATGTAACTTGGTTTGAGTTAACAGTATACGCTGGTGGGGATATAGAATATTAAAAAAAAATACCTTCCAAATAGATGTGAAAATAGTATAAAATGCAAAACAAATTAAAAGCGTATTAAACAAAATATAATATTCAGGAGCAATACATTTAGTATTGCTAGGTAAATATATTGCTATAGTGGGTTTCTGATTTTTTTTTTATATCCCGTAGATAGCAAACAAATATACAGCCCGTCTGATGGTAAGTGGTCACTGATACCTATGAACGCCTGCAATACTAGGGATGTTAAGTGTACATTGCTGACTTTGAAGAAATCTTAGTGGTATACTTATCCTTATAAGTATAGTGTATTTAGGATTTAATTATCGTCCCGTATGTCATGTTAGGTGAACACATTTATAATTATATAGGTTTAATGTGAATTAAGCTATAGTTCCGTAAATCAGGTTAGATGACCTAATTTATAATGATAATAGTTTAATTAGAATAAGCTATAATCTCATACATTAGGTCTGATGACCTTGTTTAAAACGATATAAGTTTAGTTAGAATTTAGCTATCACTCCTTAGATCATGTTATATGACCTCTTTTATAACGATATGAGTTTAATTAGAATTTAGCTATCATTCCTTAGATCACGGTATATGATCTTGTTTATGACGGTATGAGTTTAATTAGAATTTAGCTATCATTCCTTAAATCACGTTATATGATCTTGTTTATGACGGTATGAGTTTAATTAGAATTTAGCTATCATTCCTTAGATCACGGTATATGATCTCGTTTATGACGATATGAGTTTAATTATAATATAACTATTATCCTGAACATTAGATAACCTTAGTATAACGTACTTATGTATTAAAAGTACGTTGTAATAAATATATAATCTAAGAAACATCACGTTAGATGACCGCGTATTTGGGCATGTGTGTGTTGGTTTGCCCTTGCCTTGGGTAGTTCGAATTTAAGTTTACTGGATTGGCAGTAAATAACGAATTGTTGTTGTAATTATGATTTTAATATTGAAACTATATAAATTTACAATATTTGGAATGTATATATATATATGAAAATGAAGAGGTAACGGTATATGAAAGGCAATTCAATTGTGACGAATGACGTGAATGTGGCTGCTGATTAATGGGTCGTCGCAATTTGCTTCACACTTCACGCTCCTTTCAGCAACCATAGATTATGCAGTAACATGGGCCCCGCCTTGGAAGCAGCAGGTTCCAAAAGATTAAATAGATGCTGCGGTATCAGCTTCTACGGGTAATGGACAGATCTTCGAAAAGGCTCTTCGTGTAGTTCCAGATGAAGTAAGAAGATCTGCTACTCTCGATATACCATCGGTCCCGGGATAAATACGTATTATCCTGCCTAACTTCCATTGCAGTGGAGGCAGGTTATCATCTTTAATGAGAACGAGTTTATTGAGTTCAACCTCGCTCTGGTTAGTCTTCCATTTAGATCTTGATTGTAATTCCGAGACGTATTCTTTTGCCCATCGTCTCCAAAAGTGCTGTCTCATCTGCTCAATCACGTCGTAGCGCAGCAAGCGGTGAGTTGGCTTGTCAGTTACGTCTCTAGTGGCCGGCGCTGTCAAAGGTCGGCCGATGAGGAAGTGAGCGGGAGTGAGGGCTTGAAGGTCATTGGGGTCTGTCGAGAGAGGAGTTAAAGGACGGGAGTTGAGGATGGCTTCAATTTGTGCCAATACCGTACTGAGTTCTTCATACGTAAGATTAGAGTTTCCGACTACTCGACGAAGGTGGTGTTTACATAATTTCACTCCTAATTCCCAACAACCGCCGAAGTGAGGAGCGTATGGAGGAATGAAGCTGAATTTAATATTATTATTTGATGAAAAATCTTTAATTTCCTTACTCTTATCATAAATGGATGAATACAATTCTTTTTCAGCCCCAACAAAATTTCGACCGTTGTCAGACATGATTTCCGCAGGTTTACCCCGGCGAGATATAAATCGCTTTAATGCAAGGATATAATCATTAGTGGAAAGACTAGTGACTAGTTCTAAATGTATGGAACGTGTACACAAACAAGTAAATAAACAAATATATCCCTTACTAAGAGTAGCTCCTCTGGTCCGGCGATTCAATATCATCACCGGCCCAGCATAATCTACACCACTGCGCATAAATGGAAATCCAGGCTCTAGGCGTTCCGCAGGTAAATCACCCATTAACGGCTGAAAAGTTCTTCCCTTCATACGCGTGCACGTGACACAGTCATGTACTGTTTTCCTAGCCAGGTTTCGTCCTCCTAGAGGCCACCAGGATTCACGTATACAAGCTAATAAGAGTTGTGGTCCTCCATGTAGCAATTGTATATGTTCATATCTAAACAATAATATTGTTAATCGATGTTTACTACACAATAAGACTGGGTGTTTTTTATCATTATCGAAGTGGGGCGAGTTTCGTAACCTTCCTCCAACGCGGATTAATTTGTTTTCGTCCACGAAAATATTTAAACCAATCAATCTTTTTGCCTTTACTACTGATCGCTTAACTAAATCACTATACTCCTCAGAAAAGGATTGTGATTGCGCGAGCTGTGTCAGCATAATAACTGACGCATTTAATTCATTGGTAGATAAAGGACCAACAGTACGATGTAGCTTACTCACTCGAATATTATTTACAAAACGCAATACATATGCACCGGCGCGTCGTAATCGATTGAATGACGAGAATCTGTTAAAATCAACCAGTTCGTTGTTATAATTTAATTCATTACATACCATGCTAATATGTTGAGTCTTAACTTCGGGTAATTGAGTTTGATCTATAAAAATATTATTTGAATAAGTTAAATTACGGTCTCGCAAAAATAATGGCCCGTGCCACCATAATTCATTATGTTTAAGTTTATTTAATGTAAGGCCTCTCGACACGATATCAGCAGGGTTGCTCTTGCCGTCTATATGCAACCACACTGCATCACCCGTAAGTTCATTAATCTGTGATACACGGTTTTGAACAAATGTCTTCAAATTATAAGGTGACATTCTAAGCCAACCGATAACAATAGTGGAGTCCGTCCAGAAAATTATTCTTGTGAATGTTAATCTAAGTGAATTGATTATTTTATGATACAACCGCGCACCTAGTAATGCTCCGCACAACTCAAGTCGCGGGATAGTGCACACAGTTTTTACCGGTGCAATTTTGCTTTTCGCACATAACAATTTAATAGTTATAGGCAAATCACTGTCACTATTATAAGTACGTATGTACGCACAAGCGCCATATGCGTCTTGTGAGGCGTCGGTAAAAATGTGCAGTTCACAAGTTTGTTTATCTTCACTCATGACATAGCGAGGTATACGTAATTCGGGCAGATGTGATAACGTATTTAAAAATTGATTCCATTGACATTCTATGTCGATGGGAACCACATCGTCCCAATCGATTTTGAGCAACCATAATTTTTGTAACATTATCTTTGCAATAATTATAGTCGGAGATAAAAGTCCTAAAGGATCATATATTTGCGAAATGATTGACATAATAGTGCGTTTTGTGATGATAGGCTTATTTTCCAAACTCGTAGTAAAATGGAGTTCATCTTTGTCGACTTGCCAACCTAGTCCTAGTGTTTTATTTTGACAATATTCTCCAATTGCTAATTCTTTAGATGTTTTTATGTTTACGTCATGGTTGAATGTCCATTTTCGTAACGGAAAGCAACCTGATTTTAATACAGTCGAAACATTTTCGCATATATTAGACAAAATTACGGGATCATCATCACCAGTGATTAAATCATCGACAAAAAAGTCTTCGATGATGACCCTAGCAATAACATCATCAGTAGTTTCATATGCCAGTTGACGCAGGCAACGCATGCTCAGGTAGGGAGCCGAAGCCGTCCCGTACGTTACCGTATTTAATTGATATACAACTAATTCGTCCGTAGAATTTTCCCGCCACAATATAAGTTGCAGTGTACGCTGATCGTTTTGAATCAAAATTTGACGATACATTTTTTCCACGTCTGCGCACGCTACGTACTTATAACTACGAAAACGAAGTAAAATGGAGAAGATGTCGTTTTGTAATGGTGGCCCTATTCGCTGTATGTCGTTTAACGACTTATTTGTCGTAGTTGTGGCACTAGCATCAAACACTACACGTAATTTTGTAGTGATGCTATGTTCCCTAAACACCCCATGATGAGGAAGAAAATAACAGGGTTGAGTGTACTCTTTAATTGGAGTCATGTGATTTAAGTTAATGTATTCGCGCATAAAATTAACGTACATCTCTTTATATTTAGGTGACTTGTTTAACTTGCGCTCTAATGAAAGAAAACGTGACTTGGCTTTTTCATATGAATCACCAAGCGCGTCCGCCGATTCCTTTAATGGGATTCGAACTGCAAATCTGCCATTGCTGTCTCGCTTTGTCGTGTTAATAAAGGACTCCTCACACTGACGTTCGTCTTCAGTGAGAAGATTCTTCGATCCACTGACTTCTTCCAGTTCCCAGAACTTACGCAGTTGTATATCGAGTGAGGACATTTGAGCAAAATTACACTGAATTACTTTATTACTGTGCAAGTTATTATTAGGAATTAATAAAGGACCTGAAAGTAACCAACCCAACTTAGACTTCTGTAGATATGGTCCGCTAGGTAATCGAAGTCGACCTTCGTCCAACAAGTCCCAAAATACGTCTGCACCTATCAGCAGGTCGATCGCTGATGGTGTATTAAAAGTAGGATCCGCGAGACAGATATCGTCTGGAATACTTAGTGTGGCACTGTCAATATGAGTGGACGGCAAGCTAGACGTGATGCATGGCAATATGAAACATTTTATTCGTGTACTCGTATTATATTCGTTCGTTTTCGATCGCATATTAATATCGCATAATTTATTTGATTGTGAGACTGTATGTCCCACGCCAGATATGTGTATAGTGGACTGTATAATCGATACGTTTAAAAATTCGCATAGCTTTGATGATACAAAACAATTTTGACTACCACTGTCTAACAACGCTCGGGCTGTGTGATATTTGTTGTTATTATCCATTACCTCAACAAGAGCAGTGGACAATAACACTTGTGACAGTGATATGGAAGGTTCCTTGTCATTTGATGACTGAGCATGATTTATAAAGTTCATTGCGTGTGATACTACTGAGACCTGCCCTTTATCAGCTGACTGTGAATTATGCGCACTGGTCACTGGTGAAACAGGCGTAGACGCAATGTAGACACTTTCATTATGTAATAAACTATTATGTTTTTTCTGACATTGCTTGCACGGACCGAAATTACACTCTAAAACCGAATGTCCCGAACGTAAACAATTACAACATAATTTTTTCTCATTAATAAATTTAATTCTCTCTTGAACTGGTAAGTTAAGAAATTTAATACAAGCGTATAACGAATGCATATTACCGCACAACGCACATTGACGCATCGGCCTGTCGGATGTACTGTATTTACGCGTAGACACGAAACTATGCGATTGCTGAACTTGTGGTATGACATTTGTCTGCCGTCTACTAATATTATTATTATTATCGAATGACTTATTAGAATTAGACAAATGACTTTGTGGTTTGCGTGAATTGCTGTTATGAACCATGTCCAACATGTCGGCACGATTTCGTAAAAAAATTAATAAATCCTCTAATTTTATTTTACCCTTTTGCGAATTAGAAAATAAGGTACCTTTATGGTTTTCCCATTCTCGTTCTGTGGAGGTATCTAATTTAGACACCATTATATAAATGATTAATGTATCCCACGAGTCTGTCGGTTCGTCTAGTGATTTAAGAGCCCGAAGGTTACGTAACACAACATCGATTAACTTTCTAATTTGCATTGGTGACTCTTTATTAATAGACTGTGCAGTAAATAAAGATTTAACGTGATTGTGGATCAATAAACGGT